CGTCCTTCAGCTGTAGCTAGTACTTCTTCTTTCACACGAACTGGTAATAGACTACAATTATTAACAAAACCAATTTAAACACTGTTGGTTGATAAGCACTTCACAAGACAGCAGAAAGGAATGTCATTAGGTTTACCTTCAAGGTCCACATCTTCAAGAAAATGTTTCAACTGGCATCGAATCTTTGCACTGGTGCAGGTGAAACTGACAATTTCCATAATAATTTTCATAGCATTATCATACTTGAAGTACCCCATACATGGAGGTGAGCCCTTCTTGAGAAGCTGTCAATTGTGCAGCTACTCAAGAACCTCCCAGCATTTTATGGAACCTGAAGGTTTATTACTGTGTTCACAAGAGCTCTCCACTGGTCTCTATCCTGAGCCAGATCAATACAATCCATACCATCCTATCCTCTCTCGCTGAGATCCATTTTAACATTGTTCACCCACGTATGCCTTGGTTTTCCCAGTGGTCTTTTTCCACCCGGCTTTCCCACCAATATCCTATTTGGATTCCTCTTCTCAATTCGTGCTACATACCCTGCCCATCTCATCCTCATTGACTTGATCATTCTAAGTATACTTGGAGAAGAGAACAAGTTATGAAGCTCCTCTTGTGCAGTTTTCTCCAACCTCCTGTCACTTCACCCCTTCAGTCCAAATATTCTCAACACCCTGTTCTCAAACACCCTAAGACTATGTTCCTCCCTTAATGTCAGAGACCAAGTTTACAGAACCACAGGCAACATTACGACATAAGGATGACAAATCCTGAACAGTTTTAATATTTTTAATATTTAAAATTTATCAATATATATGACGAATATATATTTTAGTATAAAGACAACAGGGCATGCAATGAAGTAGTTTGATGTACATCGAAAAGCACCTGAAGATGGCACTTTTGTGCTGAAACATGTAGTGCAAGAGAGAAGAGTAAGGTGAATAAATGTATGCACTGTAAGACGGTTAGAATAAATCATGGACAGAGTTTTGTATATTAAAATTTTCATGTTTTTGGACAGCAGACGAAATATTTTAAATACATGGCCATAAAATATGCAAAGCAAACAATACAGCAAACAGAAATAAATTCTGGAATTTCTTGATTGTTTTTGGAATCAAAAAAACCTGCATTTCTACTCAAAAGTAAAGGCGTTTTCATGCCCCAACTGTAAGATTATACGTGTATAGCAGTACAATGGCATCTGTTAATAACGTGTCCAGTGAATTTTTACATCTGCACTCTTTCTTCTAATGTTGCTTCCTCTTCCACAATTACATCTGCAGGAACACAACATACAGGTATTGTCAACCGTAGATTAACTGGAATGTCCATGGATTCATCATGGGCCTAATGGAATGTTAGGTTTTTTAAATGTTCTGCACCTTTCTCTCAATATTATCAAAGATTTCAAAATACACTTTAATGTGGTGTAACATGAAACTGGAATGTTATCAGCCTCAGAAGTTCCGAGTATTTTGGACTTAAAACTTATTTATTATTATTATTATTATTATTATTATTATTGGGGGTGGGTTTCCCCATGCACTTAGACCAGTTATTGGTCCATTGTGCGTCCCCCTTTAATTTATACTGTCGCCATACCCTACCGGTACTGGTGCGTGCTATCAGCCCCGTTCAGCCAACGAGGTCGGCCCGGTACCTGATATTTCCCCCATCTACCACAGGCATTGAAAACTACTTGGGCGAGAAATGTGTCGCCTGATTTTGCTCTGCGGTCTCCTAGAGACACGAGGATCTTTTACGTGCCGTAAATCTACGACACGGAACCCACGGCTTAAAGTCCCTCCCGGAGGACTTGTTCCCTGAATTTTTCCGCCCTCAAAAATTCCACGACCTCCGCCGGGTTTGAACCCGCGTACCTTGAGTCATGAGGTTAAATTAAATTTTGTTTATTGATTGTTTATCAGCTTCCTTTATGAATGATGCGAGCATTTTTTCCGAATACGTAACAGTGATTTTAACGCAGAAAACATATTTTTACACAATTCGGATTTGTGGGGAATGGGGAAAGAATAGCGCATACACGTGGCACAGGGTTTTAGTTTTTAAATCGGAGGTGATGGGATTACACAATTGTTTGGCTACACGCCTTCCACGCAACATTCTTCTTTTTTTACTTTATCTATTCGTAAAGGAAGTACGGCCAAACACCTTTGTTTGCGAGCACTAAGTACCGAAAGAGCTACATGCGGCTCGCAAGCCACACACAGTCCACATCTGGGACGTCGGATACGCAAGGTCACGCCGCTTTGCACCTCAGCGCCATTAGAATGTCTCGGAATTAACTCTACATACTAGTTGCATGCTTCGACGGCTCCCTGACATGCATTTCATGGGTGAAAGTTTAGCCAGACGGTCAATGACCCCGCTTCGTCAGGGGGAGGCTGCAACAGATCAATATTGGCTGGCAGGCGGACGAAGCTATGGCGCACTTTTATTTTGCTTGTCACCTGGACATGTCTCCGGAACTCAGTACATGTCCCAATCGGAAATCAAACACTCCCCAGACCACACTTGGTTCTGAACGTAAATTTACACTTCCCGCATCTTGGTAAGGGCACTTTTTGTTACGCAATTCAATAATTCTCTAACCATAATGTCAGCCCTTAAGAAACGGTATAAATACTATTCGTATTTGCATGCACTTAAAAGATCTGAGGAAATCCTTAGTACGTTGGCCGGGTCTCGACTTACTTAAATGATCAAGGCCGTACACACGATTAGGTGCATTCCATTTCGGGGAGGGAGGATTAATGAAAATTGCATTTAGAAACCCTGGTATGGAAATTAAACTGCTGAAAACGGCCTACTAACAAATTCGAATAATACATACTTTTCTTTTCAGAATCACAAATGCACTCCCTCATAATTCTGGTTAAGGTTTCGTAATTCAAGGCAGTTGATAAGCACTGGTAACTAATGGATCGGGTGTCGTTATAAAGTGTTCTGACATGAGGTCTTAGGTTGAACCGTCAGGCATGTATGTTTCTTCGCATGTGGTAACACGTTCAGCTTGCAACGAGTCTTCAATCAACAGCTCAAGAAGCAGCATGACATCATTAAACGTAACAGTTCTTCTTTTTCAGTATCTACCCACATAAAACAACTCGCAGGAATTGTAAGGCCTAAAATGTTCTTCGACTGGTTATATGGGCGAAAACTGGAGAATAATGGCAAAGAAGAAACATTCTCACAGAAATCCATGCCCTAGACCGTACCTTAACCCACAGGAATATCAACGTTCGCCTCTCTCACAGAATATGTTGAAAAGAAGCTTTCCTTGTTCTTAGTTAAGCAGCACCACCCCACATAACATAAGAGGAGGAGGGGGGTGGAGGAAAATCACTATGTATGTATTAACCTCAGAATTAGACGGCGGTGGGTGACCAGCTGCAGACAGAGTCCCCACTGCCCATTAGACAGAAGGCTGAATGGCCCTCAGAAGAAAACTCTTTGCCCCTGAGGGAACCCCCATCATCCAGCTCGTACAGTTACAGAATACTACAGTTTCATACAATGTCATCTTCTTGTATAACAGGACCTAGAAGAAAATTCAACTAAGAGTGGTTACCGCACGAAAAGAATGCGACGCAACGACACACAAATTTGAGGATTTCACACCTTTTCGATCACTTAAATTCGGCCTATTCTTATTGAGTCGTTGTTTACATTCCCTACGAACAGACAATACTTTGTAAGATGAGACACCCACTAAACAATTAACATTAATTTACTACATCTACATCATGAGCCTTCTATATAATTTTATATTCCAAATATAGAATATTCCAATTTGTCCGTGGGAATGCAACGAAATTACAAAACCAACGACTGATTCGATGATATAAAACATCAATCTAAGAATTTTATTCTTGTTTTATACTATAACTTCTGTTTTATATAATCTGATTTATTGTATTCTTACGTCAAGTGTTTTATATAATTAATATTATTGTATCCAATTTTACTAGTACTGCAGTTCAGTGGTGTATTTGCCTGATGATGGCTATTGATAGCCGAAACATGTAGCAGAGCCGAAACTAGGCACTGATTTTGATATCTGTTGTGTTGTGACGGTTGTAATAAAGAGGCTGTATTCTTATTCGCTTGCACGCAGTTAGCCGATAACTTCTCAGGGGAGGAAAACCTCATGCTTCTTGGTATTCACTTCGTATTCACTGCTCACAAGCAAGGGGACCAGGATCTGATTTCATACGACTAGGCCCATAAGTTCAAAAGTTGATCAGCTTCGCCCGTCCAATACACGACCTTACATATGGGAAATGCTGAATGTGAGCGAACAGTTCTGGTGTTCAATATGACATACGCTCAGCTGTATTTTAATTCGATTAACAGAATCCCATGATTTCAGTAAAGAGGGGTGGTTTTATTTATGGATGGATTCGTTAATGAAGTGACAGAACTTTGCTCCAAACACAAGGATTATAATATTGTCACGCGTTTATGGCTGCGTTCTTTAACAATCACTCTTAATAACAATCAATTACAACAAGTAAGGACAATGTTCAGCCGAACCCTTCTTCCTGGATTGCCGAGGACTCGCACCATTCTCGTTTCAGTTCTACTGGCTGCTCAAAGTCAAAGTCACATTGCGACTGACAGCCAGTCAGTCAATCAGTAAGTCTTGGTGTCGAGCCCCATTTTCTGTGGAGCGCCATCTCTGACTAGAGGACGGGTCTGTTTGTTTCTTGTATATGCTGCTGGTCCTTGTCAGCGCAGTCTTTCTCAGGTCGGAGTCCCTAGGTACCCGCGACCATATATTA